CTAAGAGGGTTTTTTTAATTTTTGCCCACCAACGCACCTACCTACGCATTCAAACTGTTTGTCCGCGAGTTAATCAGTCATTTGTGGACCGATCTTCTTGCAATCGGTCTCTAAATTTTCCAAACGGAGATGGCTGCTATGTGGGTTTAGTAAAAGGACTCGACCGGTGAGTCCTTTTATTAGCTTTTGAGCCCGCGCGAAGCGGGCTAGTAAGTAATAAAACGTGCAAGTGTTTATGAACCTGTATCTTTTTCAGGTGATTGGCATTGAAAGGTTACGAGTAGCAGATGCATCTATCATGCCCAGAATTGTATCGGGACATTTGAACATACCTGTTTACATGATCGCCGAAAAAGCTGCGGATATGATCAAGGAAGAATGGGGATATTTGTAGAAGTCGTAATAGATACGAGTATTTTAATCAAAGTGCACTGACAGAAAAAGATGGTTGCAGTTATTACCACAATCTCGCTATCATTTACAGTCATTTTAGGAGGCAACCACATTTTTATAATTGTTCCAACTACGTAAGTTATGGTTGACCTAACAATGTATTATAGTTCTCAGATACACAATATTGGTCCGTGCAACTTATGATATGGTTGTCACGAACCAAAACGAGCTTTTAATTTGGTAAGGTGTACTATAAATATTGCAATAACAACCACAAGTAAAATTTCGAACAACTATATGTAATAGTAATAATCGTATTTATATTGGAAGCAATATTCCCCGCTCTTTATTACATATACATTGCGTTCACTATGTTTATTGGTTACATCACTTTGCGCTCATAAAGAATAGTACAAGAAAGCATCTTTCAAAGAAAAGATAAGCAATCTTACACGAGTGCATAAACTTAATTATATAAAAATAATTAACTAATTTACTATTCATTACCTGGATATTTTAACAGAATAATAGTTGAGAGCTTATGTTTTATGGTAAATTTTTTAAATAGTTGGCATTACTGTGTGTATGTGGTTGCTATTACTAATATTACAGTAATAATTACTATAAAAATGATATTCCTGACTATAATCATTTTACTATGCAATTATAATTTCAAACAGGTACTACATATTTTTCTATCAGTGTGGTTGCACTGTTTTGCAATTTCTAGTGATACGTTAGTTTAGCGTTTTGACGATGTTACTGAAAATCTACCGCTATTCGTATGTACAGTGATGCACAGAAGGGTTGCGACACTTTTTTTTACTGAGTTTAGGAACGTGCATTGAGATTCAGGGTTACGTTCCACGATCTTCTTCTCCGAGGAATATTTTACTCGATGGCCATTCCGAAACCATTTTGAGCGTTTCCGATATATTTTTAGAGTACATTTTTTTTTCTCATAGAAAACGTTTTGGTTACGTTTCTAAACTCATTAAAAAAGTGTTGCGACCATTCTGTCTATTACTGTACAGTGTACATACATAGACGAAAGCCCTTTATTATCAGATAGGAGTCTAATATGAGATAGTAGGTTTTCAACGTCCAAATTCAATCACAAATGTTTTTTCGCAACGACTATAACACGATCTAACAATGAATTTTTCACTAAGAAGATTTCACTCCAAGGGCAATAAATTCATGGTGGGACCAACAGATAATATTAATTTAGCAGAAACTCCGCTATTTCGTGTTAGAAATCTATCTCATAATAGGACTTTTCTCTATGTGTCGATTAATACCACAGGTGACAATAAATTTGCGAGGATTACAAATAAATGACCTTGTATTCCTTGAATATAGATTATACGTTCGTCACAAATGCCACATGTGTATTTTGCGGATCAAATAACTTGATCGAAGCAGAATTTCTTCGCTTGCAGAGCAATACACGATGCACGTGATGCGAGTTGGCATGGCTGAAGCTTTCACACGCCCGAAGTAACCATATCATGACAGCTTGTCGACAGTGATACAATTTTGCTACCGCTCGAATGGGCAACGCGAAGTCAAGTGGTAAAACTATGACAAAGCGATTGCATTTGATTTCTAAAAATGATTTGCTATTTGAATTGTTAATTACTTTTATATACAAAACTAGAAACATATTTTTAGCGATCCTTTGTTAAAATTAGTAGCAACAATTAGCGAACAAATTCAAATTTGGACGATGGTGGCGATTGTGAACTTGACGCTAAAAGCGAGTATGTTTGTTTCGGCGAAGGCAGAGTCGATAAAGATCGTTCATCGACATTATTGCATACACGTGCAGCGTCCAGAGCTAAGATTGAATTAAAGTCGGTCGATCGCAATTATGATTTTTAACGAACCGTTCAACGCCGATCAACGTGTGTGTATGTGTGTGCGTGCCGACTCGCGCGCGGGACATCCACGCACACGCGCGCTCCGTAGCGCTCATCTATTTTCAGAATGTAGGCCAATTAATCCCGCCGCATTTTCGGCACGGAGGAAAAACGAAAACATTACAAGTGTCTCACGGAAATAGCCGCGGGGATAAATGTCCAAGTACCGGTCGCTCTCTCGCGCTCATCCACGCTCTCTCGTTCCTTCTCCGCGAGGGTAGCGTCGCATAAGCGCAATAATTTAATATAGAACATATGTAAGAGTTCGTCGCTTACTTGGACGCACCCTGAGAGTCACTTGCGTGATATGCAGACGTTTGCTCGATGATAAACAGGAAATTCTATCACTTGCGTGCCTCATTCTAATTATACATCCTTAATTAGATCTGGACCTTGATTAGATTTGGATCTCGATTTTTCTCGCACATTCTAATGGTTTGTTAATCTGTTTCTAATGTATTTCTTACTTGTATTACACGTGTGTTACATATATGCATATTTATATTAATAATTTAACGCGTGACGTCTAATTTGTTGGAAGCGTGCGTAATCGATTGCTAAAAGTTATCAACTAACTCGTAACGATATCTTCACTTCATTTTGTATTAAATGCAGGCACCAAGAGGCTCTTGATCTCGATGACGATGGCTCTAACGGCCTTTTACACGGGCAATATTCAGCGTTTACGAGCAGATTAACGACACGCGTGTTAGGTGAAAGCGTGTTGTGGAGAGGAGTGTTGAGAAACACACTGCTACGTGACGAGAAATAAATTTGTTAACATTTAATGGCACGTATGAGTGACAGGTATCGCTATTGTGGCATTTTACGATCCAGATTAGAATGGGGTAGAGTAAATGAAATTGATATCAATCTTCGCGTTGAACGTCTACAATTCGGAATTGAATAAACGCGCGTGAGATGAATTCCATGCTGAACGAGGGGCGGCATTTATTAATCGATGTGTACAAGTGCAAATCTAATTTGAAATAAAAATTCCAATTTCCACATTTGTTCTTCTTCTTCAGGATTTTCTTTTAAAAGTTACCCTGAAAATCATGTAATCGTGGAACAATATGGCATTTTGAATAAGTTTATGAGAGTTTTTTTTGAAATTTTACTATATATATTTTACTAGTAAAATGTATGGTAAAATTTCAAAACACTCCCATAAAGTTCTTCAAAACACACGTGGTCCCACGATTACATAATTTTCAGGGTAGATTTTAAAAGAAAATTCTCTCCGTGTATCATATTCAATACGTTTAGTTTTCCGAGGGTCTATTGAGAGCGTCCGTTGAGTAATTTTCTATATTTCTCTCATGCTCTTCCGACTGCGATAACACGACAATTGCTCGAAATAAATGCCGTTTCCCCGAATGAGCGTAAGAGGCAGAAGGAATAGACGGCCCGCGTATTTCATTTATCATGGAAATTGACAACGGCGTACGCCTTTTCGACGCGATCGACAGTGCGATCCTTTTTCCTCCCTTCCTCTTTTACACGAGCATTTATGGGCTGACGAAGTGTCAGAGGGGACCTCGGATGGGAAGTCAATTACGAAGATCGAGGCCGCATTGTGGTGGCGTCGAGGCAGCCTCTCTTGGCGTGCGAGCGATCGAAATTGCACAGGCGGTCGACCGGAAAATAGGGCCGCGCCCTCCACAATGCGCGGCCTCCTGCCTCCCAAATAATTTATCCCAAAACGCATCGCGTCTTCGGAGGCATCGTCGAGAAGCGAGGGGCGAGGGAGAAGCGTTCGAAAAAGCGAGCGTATGCGCCGCGCGAGAACTCGGCCCATCGAGAGGATCGATTGTCAGAGGGCGACCTGACCGCAAGCTATTGACAAGAGGATTAATCTCAGTTCTGCGCTGTGGGTCGCGCGATTGAGAAACCTGAATCGAAAATGGGCAGTAGCGCGTAAACGTAAATATCGCAGGGCGAGGCATCTTTTCGACTCTGTTAAACTTCTTAGTCGACCGAACGTCGCTGGAAAGGCTCGAAATTCAATAAAATTGAACACTTTCAAGAGACGCACTTCAAACGTCTTATGACGCGAGACACTGTAAAATATGCGAAGTGCAACGAGGGAACATGAAGTGCAATGCACGATGCCGCGTGTGTAAATATATATGGTGTATTTAAATATATAGAGAAGAGTCTCCCCTATTATAAGACAGGCTCCTAATGTGAGACAGCGGAGTTTCCGCTAAATTAATATGCTCCATCATGAATTTATTGGAGTGAAATCTGTTTAGTGGAAAATTGATTGTTAGATCGCGTAATCGTTGCGAAAAAAAAAGACTTGCCATTGAATTTGGATATTGAAAACCATACTATCTCACCCTAGAAGCCTGTCTTATAAAAACGGACTTTCCTCCAAATATGATGAATTTGTATAGGAGACACAGTCAAATATGAATTCATTTTGAACGCGAAATAATTCCTCTCCGCTATCTCAGCGAGTCCATGATAAACTGATTGCGCGTATATCGGAGGCTTCAAAGATTTATCGTTCACCTGGGAAACATCGGGGAGTTAAGAGAGCGAATATTCGGTACACACACCTCGAAAGTGTGGGTTTGTATGTATAATGTAAAAAAAAAACCAACCGAACAACCGGGTATAACGGCATATTGGATTTATCGCTTTTATTGTCTCCGGATATCAAGTACCGATCCGAATTCATTGTCGACTGATCTCGTTGAGCCCTCAAATGCCTTTATGTTCCGGTCAACCGGAAGCCTCTCTCATAATCATTTTTTCCAAAACACACAAATGCGTATTGATATTTTTTTCTACGTTAAATAAACGAAATAAAAATGGAAATGCTCGTCCGTCATAAAGTATCTTCGTAAATAAAGATTCGCAATACCGGCGTGATGGAGGTTATTGCCTTCGTGGTATCAAGGCTTATTCACGGTATACGTTTTACTACCGACACGGAAAGGGCGGGCAGGCATCAGATGCGACAAAGCATCTCTTTTTTTTTAACCCTTTCGCTTTCAGAACGTTGTGCAAACTTTTAATAGAGTTTAAAGCACACGGGGGCGGAATTAAGCTTTTAATTACAAAGCCAAAATAAAGCGTTTAGAAACCGGGCGATGTAGAAGCCTTTTAATTTACGAAGATGATCGAGGGACAAGTGAATTACAAGCGAGCGACAAGTCAAGTACTGTGGTGTTCACAGACGCGAAGAAAATTAAGTCAAGCTAAACGCGAAAAATTCTGTACTAATCACACCGTTAACTGGATTGAATTTAAGACATTGCGAGATCCGATTAAAATAATTTGCGACCATTTTCTCAACCCTCTTACGCGGGAGAAATTCCGTTTTATTAAAGCAAAGTTGTCCTCCTCGTGTACAAAAGAGAAAATTGTGAGGGTTTTGCCAGATACATCGCACTTTCCAGCCGAATAAGGACCGACAGCCCCTTCTGTCATCCCTTGGTCCGATTTTATTCAACTCACTTCTACATCCAAGTGTCAGCGAAATGACACCCCGTCCGATTATCCGGATTCTGCGCGCCAACTCGCCCCGCGCTTTTAGCACGGCTCGCGAGCGCGTCGGATAATCTCGTCAGTTTCCACGTAGAACCGAAGATTTTCGTAGGCGCGATATATCGTCTTTGCACGCGCGCGAGAGCGTGCGAGAGCGAACGTGGGGAGAGATGTTGCACACCGCAGAGGCGCGCACGGGTGGGCTATCTATAGCGGCGAGTGTAACCGAACGGAGACTCGGGTGTCACTCAGGGATGACAAAACTCATTAATACCGATCTGCTTAATGCCCCGTCTCGTGTCCGACATTAATCTGCTTAAAAATACCCCTGCGGGGTGCGCGCGAGTGACCCGGCCATCTCAGATCGTCCGTGTACTTTGTAAGACACGCGTCGGTATCTCCGCGAGCGGGAGATCACGCGACACGCACGGAAACGCGCGCCGATCCCGACGTTAATGCTCCGCGCGGGCTGTCGCCTTCGCTCTGGAGATGCTCCGCGGGGCGAATACGGCGAGGCTCGAGAGGGAAGCGGAAACGACGGAAGTTTCGATCGCAGTCGAGTCTTATCGCTTCTGCTTGCGCGCCGTTAACTATTTCAGACGAGTCCGTGCGGCCAATCGCGACGATGTGAGATATTATTTTTGTATCTGACCTATTGACGCCGGCAATACTCTCGATACCACTGTACGGTGGAGACCTACTCGCATGGTGTTTTCATATAAAGGGCGGAGAGAATTTTCTATTAATTTACCCTGAAAATCACGTGATCGAGGGACAACAAGGGCATTTTCAACAATTTTGAGAGCTTCTTGAAATTTCGCTACACCGATTTAAAAAATATTACCTCACTCAAGAAAATTATTCATTAGGTAGATCCTAATAGCTTATTAACTTAAATTTTAAAAAATAATAAACAAATTAAAATATGCATTGCTTTAATCTAAGTATTTATTGCATACCAAAGAATAGATTATTTTCAATTTAAAAAATTTTACTTTATTTCCATAAAATGTTTACTAAGATGTCATTTTCACAGCGATGAAAATTGGACTTCTTATTTAACAAAAACTTCCCTTCTCTCTAGGCGGGCGTCTCGCCAATTCGACCACTGAGGCATACACTTTTCTATTGAACCATTTTTTGTGAAATTTTGTATACAAGGGTTCTTGGGGTCGCTGATTACAAATCCATTATCAGATTTTCATAAGTCAACACGGCGGACTCAAGATGGCGAAATGCGAAACTTGAAAGAATAACGTCATTCAACTGTAAATCAACTACGCTAAGAAACATGCCGGTGGCCGAATTGGTGAGACGCCCGCCTAGAAAGAAGGGAAGTCCAGGTTCAAACCCTGGCTGAGGTAATATTTTTCGCAATCAATTTTCTGTATTAAAAACTCTGGCCGGATAATGCCGATTAAAAGGTTAATTATTGTTATCTATTACTGGCAACCTAAAGAGATTTCTACGTTTGAAACAGTAGAAAAGTCGAGGTGGTAACGTGGGTTACCACTAGGCCTCAAAGGATTAAAGTTGTACGCAATTTATTATTTATATCGGCAATCGATTGATCAAAATGGAAAACTTGCGACGATCATTGTCTTTCGTGAAATCTTCGTTCAGCGAAAAATTATCCCGACTCTGTCATAGAATCTGTTCAAAGCACATTATATGTTGGCTGTATATGTGTGCCAGAAAACTACACTGGCTTACTTATTTTTACGGAAATACCGTCTATTTTTGCTCGACGTGCGCGCGAGACAACGAACGCAAATTTGATCTTATGGGCTCCTGAATCATGAGGCCGCGTAACGACTTGTGTGCACTAATGCCGCCTTATGCGATGCAGATGTTGATGATTTTTTTGTACGACAGAAGGAGTCATGAGCGAGAATTCGAGGGACCGCGGACACGCGGTGCACTAATCATTTCGCCGTTTCTGCTGCAAGCGAATTCGCGCTGCAGAAGGACGCCATACGATCTTTCTTGTAACGACCTTTCTACGTCACGTGTACACCGCAGTAATAAAGAGTGCGACGTAGCATACGAGTTTATAGGCATAATTTAAAAATCAGACAGTCTGAAATTAAGAGACGAATGTACGCAAAAATTAAATCCTTTTTTAAGTTTGTATTAATTTATGTGGTGATATAAAAAGAGTAACATTAACGACTGAAATGTTCGTTTTAATTGCAATGTTAATCACCAAGCAAGTACACTTCCGGTAAAGAAGTGCATTTAAATCTAAGGAGCATTTCTTCTCTCACGTTGAATATTGCAGGAGAAAGAGAGTCCACACTAATGCGACACTTAATCGCGGTAACTTCTTATCAATGTTGCATCCGTTGCAATATCCAAAGCTGAACTGACCCTTGTAAATACTGTCACTGTTATTTCACCAACAGTTAGAGGAAAGCCCTCTATTTCGAGATACATTTCCAATATCAGATAGCAAGTTTTCAACACAAAAATTCAATCAGAAATTTTTTTTCGCAACGATTGTACAGTCTAACAATGAATTTTCTACTAAACAGTTCTCGCTCCGAGGGCGACAAATTTATGGTGGAATCAACAGATGAGACCTATTAATTTAACATATTTAAATTAAGAAATCCCGCTATCTTATATTGGGAGCCTATTTTCATAAAAGGGGACTTTCCTCGAAAATGATCGTCGAAATAACCGGCGTGTCGATAGCATTTCTTTGTTATATAATTCGCCTACGCATAGGCACGCAATTCTAGTTACAGTCGCAGGAAAATGCGTCACGGAGCAAGAGGGACGGGCGGGCATCTCGGGCGTTAAGTACTTTCCCCCGAGAGCCTAAATTTGTAAGCAACCGTACGCAGGGTAAAACGCAAGTAATACCACTCACCGTTAATTGGTTGAAACCTTGCCAAAGGATCCGAGAATTGCCGAAGTCTGTCCGTCACGTACTGCGGCGACTCTCCATTCTGTAAATAAGAGAACGAATGTAAAGCTCCCGCTCTCTCTCTCTCTCTCTCTCTCTTTCTCTCTGTCTGTCTCTCATTCTCAATGTAGCTGTTTCCGTGTGAGCGGTGTTTCATCTCGCGACGCAAATGAAACGGGGCACGTCGCGAGCATATCATTCGCGATGGAGGCCAAGCGAGTGTGCTCGAGAATAATGGATTCTCAATAGGGGGAGGGGGGGGATTAGGGGGAGACGACGGTTTCAAATTAAATCAACTAACTCTCGACTATATCGCGCGAATGCCACTCGACAGAAAACCATCGATCGCGCCGCTTCGCTTGATTTCCCCGATAAGTAATAATACGTCCTGGTTTTAATTGCGCTTTCTTAATTTCACTCCTCGCGCCTCCTCTTTCCCCAGCGCATACCTCGTTTCTTCGATAATTTTATAAAATTATCAAGAAAGTTCAACTACTTACTACCTATACAATATGTGTCATAATTTACCTACATCACATCTTGAGAAAAATCGCACATATCAAGACGCAGCTTATAGAATCCGGAGACAAAGCAAAATATACGTATTTTCCTTTATCTAACTCTAATAATATCCGTTTGCTTCTCGTGAATTTTGGCACAGAACTATTTAATATACGCAAAAAAAAACTAAATAGAAATGTATCCTGCGTACCATTCCTTTGTTAAATTTACATTCGAGTAATGAAATTCTCTTCGCTTTGCTTTTGACGGTGACTCCACTGTTTAACGTGAATACGTTTGTGAAGCAATCGTATTGCAAAGAAAACGTTCACTGTACAAGCATTTTTGTAAAGCAATACAAAGCAAAGGCACGCTGACGGTGCAGCAACGTCAGTTCTGTTTTAATTCATCAAATCTGCAGCATTGTTGTCTCAACACTTGTTAATCAATTTAATATTTGTAACCCCGAGCAGACGCTTAACTCAAGCGATTATTAACAATATAAATTAGCCATTAATTATTATCGACCATCTGTGAGACCACACTTTTATTATTCTCGCCAAATAGCCGCTTCATCTTGCGTCTATTTTAGTTTATTATTTGTTTGTCAAGATATTTTTACATGGCGGTAGCAGAGACGGTCTTAAGGACCGTAATATTTAAGGCTTTTTAAGTGGGATAAGAAAGGGGACGGTAAACGTGCAGTCCCCATTATTTCTTCACTAAAAAGAAATCGAGTCGAAAATTTACTGCAGCACTATAAAGCTGTGAAGC